CTGGATGAGCTTAAGACACAAGACCCAACACTCTGGATGAGCTTAAGACACAAGACCCAACACTCTGGATGAGCTTAAGGCCGCTATCGAAGCATCCTGGGCCTTCTGGACAGCAGTCAGGCCAGCAGTCTTACCCATGATTGTAGCATCTTTAAGGAATATTAGTTTTATTGTTTGTTCAAAGGGAAAGTCATTTGTTATTTGAAAAATGTATTATAATTAAGAATTTTCTCTCTAATATATAGTAGTATAAAGTAGTTTACTTGTGTTTCATGTGATAAATCAACACTAAGCAACGAAGCTACCTGTGAAGTGGAAAGAAAAAGATGCACAGTTTTCAAAATATTTAAAATGCAACCTTGAGTTTGTATTCAGCAACCAGTTTTAGCTCCAGGTTGTGATGTTACAGACRCTGGGAAATGGGAAATGGAAGGAAGTTAAATATATAAAACGTCATTTAAGTTTTCATCCGTCCGTTTTAAAGGTCCTCGAGGAGATTTTCCTGAACCTTCCTCCTCACATGGTGGTTCGTTGTCGCCTAGTGTGCCGTCAGTGGAAGGAGGTGGCTGACCTAAACTCTCTCTGGAGAGAAAGGTGCAGACGAGAAGGCTATCGTCATRCTGAGGCTTACAAGTTCCCTGAAGACTGGAGGTTGTTTTACTTCTTGTCCAAGAAGWGAAGAAATTTTATCAAGAACCCTAGTGGAGAAGGTAAGAAACAATAACGTAAATAATCCTTGTCTTAAACAATTAAACAAACAGCTCGCAGAGGAGTTAAATAAGAGATGAAAACGGTTGAATGAAATATTTTGCTAACAGACAAGGTTTTCTATATTGCCAAAGTTTTACACAAAAGTATTTGGTAGTCTAGCTTGGTAAAACCCGGCCCTTTGTTTGTCACTTTGCTTCATACAGAGGGTCTGGACTCTCGGCTTTTGGGGAACAGTTGTTTTCTTGAGACATGGACTTTGTTGAAGTTTAAAAACGAGTGGATCTGATTTTACCSAATCGCTAACGTTTGGCTATGACGTATTTAGTGCACCAGCTCAACCGTGAAGGAAGCTAACAGGAAATTGCGTGCACTGTAAACAACCATCCACYACTGGGAAGAACGAAGTACCAAGCCAAACAAGATGGCTGTAGAGGAGTGCTGCAGGTTTTGTGAGACGAATTTAACTTAGTTTGGAAGCCTGCCATTGCTAAACCACAGGCAGACTGAAACTGCGCAGAAAATTCACAACTCCTGTTTCTGTTCGCTGATTGGCTCGGTTGAAATTCTATGGAAGAAAGGCCAGACGGAGCAGAGAAGGGAGATTATAATCAAGCAGAACTGTGTAGGAAGGCAATGGCCAGGCTATTGTTCATTCTGTTAACACTTTACAGAATGGTGTACAWTGAGACCCCAGTCAGGTGTAGGAAACCAGTCCTGTACTCAGCTTTGAATGGTTATTTGTACACATAAAAAGATTGTCACAGCGCTGAGGTCCAGCCCATCTGAGAGAACAAAATGGCACCCATCACATGTCGGTCTAAAGTTTTTATAAAACTTGGTCACACCCCGGATATGATGGCATCCGCATGTCATACCCCTAAAACTGTTCTACATTTCTGAAATGCCAACATTGTGTTTATACTGTGGGAGCGAAGCATGTCTTGAATARAGACTTGTTGATACTCTTACTCTTTAAAGTAAATGATTACAATCGATCACAAAGTATAAAATATTAGAGTGTATCTAAAATTCAGTAAAWCAACTACTAAATGTCCAATAGAACCAAATTTTCAGCTCTATCTTTTAAGCTGGATTGAGTTTGTGACCAATTTTGTGTTTACTGAGATAAGTTAGATAGGGTGGCCATCTTGTTATTTGTTTGTTTTTATTTCATTTGACTTACAGTAATACACAAAAAAATACACACAGAAAAA